AGTACTTTGAAAATTGCAAAAGGCCAACATCATTCTAGAAGGAAGGATTATTTTAAATATAGGTCACCTATAATAGCTTCTAGATTTTAATATGCATAAAAATGAGTCCAGTTGTTCAAAGTCATCCTTTTTCCAATTTTTATCATCCCTTTCCCAGTGAGAATAGGAGCAGGATACCCCCTTTACTGCTAAGAAAGTTTAAAGAGTAAAAGGAGAAGGGACTGAAAAATTATATAAGCAAGCAGTCAGAAGCCTCCCAGGGTTGTCATAGCATAAAGAGATTAAATAAATAACTGCCTTGTGATGCTTCAAAATCATCCTTCAGACAAAAACCTATAAATTAAGTGTGTGCTCGCATGGTATAAGCAAAGTTGGTGTGTTTATTCCCAGATGTTTTCCAACCACTAAGTCAAAACCCTTTTGTCTTTGTATTTTGACTCAGGATTTATATTATCTAGGCCACACGCCTCTTTAGAAAAATAGCCATCAAGATAAATACTCTGCTATATGACTCCTGTGTTATACTTGGAAGGTGGAGTATCATCTTCCTCATTTGGACTTAGAAGAAAGCTGAATTCCTCTCATGCCCAGGACTCTGATCCCTGGGTTCTAGTCCCTTGAATGCCTTGGAATTTTAAACTCCCCTGGGAATGAGAAGACCTGGACTCTATTCCTGGCCTTGTTAGTAAGTGGCTCTGTGACCTTGAGCAGGTGACTTCACATCAGGGCCTCTTTCCTTAGCTGTAAAATGAGAAGACTGGCTAAATGATTTCAGAGGTTCTTTTTGGCTCTAAAATTCTGTAAGCCTGGAAACACCTGCTGGTGACATTGATTGTGTTCAGTATTCCTCCTTCACCCTTTTCAAAATGTTTCCGTTTGTGGCTTAATATCGTTATCCATACAGACCTTTTCAGATCCTTTCCAGGATTTGTGTTTTGTTGTGTTTCTTAACAGCAGCTGGTGTTTCTACATTTACTTTATATTAAGTGTTGTATCACTTCTTCACATATTTGTAATATATTGAAATAAGTATGTCATCAGATATAAATGATTTTTTCCAAATTCTCTGTGATACCTAGAGCAATAATTTGGGTCAGTTTCATATCTAAAGGTTTAGGCATTTAAACGGTTTAAAAGTAACCTGGACTATTCAACAAATTGCATTTTTCCCAAAACGTTTTCAGCCATTCTGACACCTGCTTGAAAATGTCAGGCACTTCAAGATGTCTGAATATCACCACAAGGCTAAGCACGCCAGCATCAGTCTTTTAAATACATTCATTTTATGTACATAACAGTAGGTACTTTCCTTAAAACAAAGTTTTAGTGGAAAGGTTCAAAACACCTGTGCTGAATATTTATCACCTTTGTTTGATCATCTAATTGTGTTACTTTGTTTCTTTGGGTATGAAATATAGCATGGAAATTTTAGCATATGATGTTACAATACAAAAGGTTGCTAAACAATATACTTAGTGGTGGACTTGGTGAGAAATTCTTGTCAAAGTCTTTCCCTAGTTGATTCTATATATAATTTAAGTTCAGCTTTACCTTGAAAGGAAGCAGATGAAGCACCTGCGATAAATAATTATAGGGACATCCACGAAAAAGGGCATTGAAATAGGTACTATTAAGTGATAGTGCAGAGTATAGCCCAACATAACTTCTCCTATAACTTAGCCACATATTATCTGAAGTTCTGATAGGATTCAGAAAACAGTCTTAATTTTATTTACTAAGGACACATGGAAATTAAGAGGTTTGGAGTGAAAGAACGGCTAAGGTGGAAAAATTACTAGGTAATTCTGTATAGATGCTTTGGGCAACCCCTCCCCGTCCCCCACACACCCCAGGATCTTCCTCCTGTCCTCATAAGGATGAAGGCAGGATGCATGTTGTAAGAGTATGAGGTGATACTTAGAGCCAGACACACGAGCGTCTGGCTCTAAGTATCACCTCATACTCTTACAACAACCTTATGAAGTAAATATAATTATCCCTTCAAGGTAGAAACAGAAACTCAAAGTTCATGCAGATAAGTGGTGGCGGTAGAATTGAAAACAAGGTCTCTGTGACAAAATTCCAGGGTCTCCTGTTAGAGAAACTGGTTCCAAGCCCCACTCCTTTGCATGAGTTTATTTCTATGAACTAAGGCAAGAAAGCTTACCTCTCTGAGCCATAGTTTTATCAGTAAGATTGGGTTAATATCTACAGACACATTTGCTGTGAGGGTGAACTAAGAGAAAGATACATTCAAAGGACTTAGCAGGGAGCTTTGCAGACAGCTGTCTCTCCATGGATAATCACTATTGATACTGTAACTATTACTGTTGATATTATTTTAGAGATTATGATACCAAGCTTTCAAAACACAGAATGTGATTTCATTCTATTGTCCTACATGTACTAAAGTCCTACTATGAGCAGGTTACTATTATTAAACTTTTTGCCCCCCCCATGAAATATTTATCGGAAAGTAGGCAAAAATAATGTGAAAGTGAACATTGTAACGGCTACACAGAGGAAGTTTTTCAGATTTGAGGATAAGACCTTATTATTTAAACTTTTATCTAGCTTGTTTTCTGAATTAGACACAAAATTGCTCTGGACACATTCTTTCAGTCATTTAAACCAAACATGAGCAGATGCATGCGTGTACAGGGTCTCACGCAACCTGGAAATGTTGCTGGGGAGGTGAGGTTTCCTAGCATTTCCAGGATAGATCCATTTGGTAATGGTTTAGGGAGCCACTCCATATACTTGGGCTGCAGCAGACCTCAGTTGAAAACAAGTACTTAGGTATCTCATTGGCTTTTTCTTTCCTACCATAAAAAGCATCATCCTTCCCCATGGGCTCTGATTTCCTCTAGCAGACACCCCTATTACCTTAGATATAGGCAGCAAGCTGTCATAGAAGGACAAAGAGATATGAGGTTGGTCTTTATGTATGCCCCATTTCTACTTTATTTAAAGATAGACATCTGATAGCGTTTTTACAAATCTTTGGAAATTGTATATATGTAATTGCCACACATGTTGTTCTGCCACATCCAGACACCAACCTCTAAAGGCGCTGAAAAGGGCATCCTGATATTGGCCAAAAAGGGGAAAGAAAGAGGTATGCAAGGAGATAATTCCTGCCTAGAAAAAAGAGTAGAATTTTCCAAATAAAAGGAATCTACAATTGGCCATTGTCATTGGGTGCTATTACCACCAGCACTTTTGGCGAGTTTGAAAACACTGAGCTCCATTATAAAAGCTAAAAATGTCCTGGACCTGGAGTTGTTTACCCAGAGAAGGAGCTGCTCTAAAGTTACACAGCTCTGGTTGGAAGAGGTGGCTTGAAGGCCGCCTCCGAGTAACTGACGTCACAGCAGTTTCAGTTGCTGCTGTGACACTGAGCTGAGCAGCGTTTTGATTTGCGAAAGTGGTGAGGCTTTCAAAGGGACTTGTCAGTACGGCTCTGTTGAATGGTTGGACTTATTTTGCATTTCAATGTTTTGCAAAGAAGCAAGATTCACCAAGCTGAGACTTTTTTTCTCTTTAAAACAACTAGCTATCCTTTTTTGCTAGACTGACCAGTGGTCGAACATCCATAGGATTTCTCCCCAGAGCAAAAAGGTATGTTTCTTTCTGGCAGTTTGAAAGCCAGTGACTAATTCTGGCAAAATGTAGAGGGGCTGCTGCTGACATGGTTTAAACTACGGATATTGTTGAAGTGGAGGGTGATTTCAACATCTGCCTGTCTCAGTGTCTGTGTCTGGGCTTACAAACAGTGGGGCGGGGTTTGTAACGGATTTTACTGACTCGCAGGGAAAAGAAGGTTCAGCTGCTGCGAGTGGATTTCCCAACTCTGGACTGACAGTGCCATCCGTTCTCTGAGACTGTTTTTCAAACACTGTCTCTCAGTACTTGGCACAGCATTTTGCCTACCATGGACTTTCACTAAATTTATTTATTAGAATGCTGTTTTCATTAAGATGAAGACTTTAACATTTGCGAACTAAAGCTCGCAAGCCTTGAGATGGCTGGTACTTGAAAATTGCAATGGAAAAATAAATAAACGTAGTTTCATCCGAAATGATGGTTTGCTCACTGCATGATCAGTGTTCCTATAATTTGAGTTGAAGCACATGCCATTCATAATGGGTTAATCTTCAGTTAAAAGGGAACCTTGTCGCTACATCGTCTGTGTAAGCTCATTAATTTTAGGCATTTGTTTACCCAAGCCAAAAGTTTCAGAGCTTTATTTTATATATTAAGAGATGTAAAATCAGTCCACCTGTATCTTGGATGTCTTCTAGTTTAAGAATGTAACTGGAGAGAAAACAAGGAAGGAGAAGATAATAAAATGAGAAGGCAAAATGGATTTCTTTGGAATTGCACATGGTAGTGTCTTTTTGACCCTACTGGAACATAAGGAACATGCTGAAATAGCAAGGAATAGCAATGAAAATTATCCCCTTTTACCCTGTAACAAAATCAAATCATGTCTTTAGAAAGATGCATTTGCCAGTGAACAATAAAAGAAGAAGAAAGTCTGCTAATTAGTTGAAGTGACATGTAATAGCCTGGAGAAAGGGCTGGAGAATCTTAGAGACAGTTGGTGCATTGCTCTTATGGGTTTGGGTGTGAGAATTCCTAATCCCTCTAAATTAAGGGGAAGCAAAGCATCTCCAAGGCTAATAATTCTTCTAGGAATTGTGAGACTGACTGAACCTACTGTGTGTGGCATTCCTATTGGAATATGTAACCTTCTACAAATGAAAAATTTTCAACTATATGAAAAGTAATTTGTTTAGAAAGAGGAAATAGAAGAGCAAGAAACAAATATTCTGAACAAACATCTCAAAGGAGAGAAGGACCAATGGAGTCAACTCCCTAACACAATTTCATTTGTTTGGGTAAAGTCCAGTTTTCATGGGGGGACATGGAGGTTGAAATGGTAATGATCCAGGAGTAGAAAGAATGCAGCACCCCTCAGAGAAAGAAGTGTTACCATGACCAATTTGGGAAATGAAAATGATTTATTGTGGACTCCTGTGTTACTCTTACATGTTGCTTACTCTAGTAGGGCCGGAAGGTTAGCAGAGCTATTTTCCTCCCATCACCATACTTATGCAGCCCACTCAGAACCCTACAGTCCCGGCTTTTTGCCTTGGGGGTGGGGGAGTAGCTTCCATAGATTATGTAATGCTAGCTTAGAGTTGTTGGGGGAACAACATGTGCATGACTAATCAGCTCACTCTATCCTTTCACATTTGCTCTGATAAATTTTTATTCTGAATGAAATTCTGAAAGGCATGAAATGAGGTGGAGAGTCAAACAGACATGGGGAGGGGTGCAGATAGCAGAAACTCTTCTTGTCTCCCACATAGATGCCAATATCTGTGGGCAAAAAAGAGTGACAACTAGGAACAAAGAGAACTTTTATATTTGCCTTAGTAGAGAGTGCTGAAATTGAGTTTTTGAGTCTGCTGATTACACCATAACTTCTCATTACAGAGCATTATGTCTCTACAGAGTTGCCCCATTATTACATATATATGTACATACATATGTAAAATATATATACATGTTTAGATACATATATTTAAGGAGCATTATAACAAAAGCAGTTTCATATAAGATTTGTGTATTCAAAATTTTACTAACAAAAATTATTTTCCAAAACATTTAACTTGCCAGGTATCCTTAAATTACTTGAAACATACTGAGTGCAAAGGAAAATCATTGAAAATTAGAGAGTTCACACATTCGACTTGCTTCTATCAAATTTCTAATTAAATAAAGATCAAAATCAGTTTTATTTTAAAAAAAAAACAGAGAGGCTTAGATGAAGGAAAGGAAGGGAGAGAAGACAAGGGGAAAAAAAAAACAAAGGGAGAAAGGGAGAAAAGGAAGAAACAGGCATTTATTGAACACCTGCTGTGATCCAAACTGTTTTAGACACTTTTATTAAGCTTTCTCTTGCTCACTTAATCCTTGCAACGATTCTGTGGCCCTGACTTTATTTTTAGAGGAGAAAGCAATATATTCAGCTGTATTACATTTGACATTTATGACAAGACAGAAATATTAAGAGGGTGAAATAAATCCTCCCACAAAAATTGGCACAGCTATTGCTCTATAGGAATTTTCTTTCAAAGGCTTGTTTTTGATCCATAACCATTACAATTCCTGGCACTAAAAATAGCTCTGGCCCTGGAAAGGGGAAGTTCTATCGATTGGCCTTTCTCCATGTTAAGTGATGAGTTTGACCCTTTCCAATTAAGTGCAGGTTTCTATCTACTTTGAGAACATTACCTGGGCTTATGTATTGTCCTGTTACCAGGAGCAAGCCTGATTTAGAGTTTTCCTTCTTCAGGCAGGTGAGAAAAAGAATGGTCTAGAACCTTTTAACCCTAGTCTGGAAGTGGTTCAAGAAGAGTTAGGAACAGAAAGAAAAATTGGAACCATTTGCTACATAATTGTAGGAGAAATTTGATGATGATTTCTGAATATTCCAATAGTTAATGACTGTGAGGATGAAATATAAAATATGATAGTACCTCTTTTACAGGCACTTGAAATCAGTCTGCTTCCTTTATATAACTTTCTTGGTTAAATCTGCAACTATCTCTTGATGCCTTAAACCACTCCACTCTCCCTAAGAAGTTCCAGTGTTAAATGCCTGTTAGCAAGACAGTTTCAGCTCACAGTTAATTACATATAGTTTTAAAGCAGTCTGCCAGTCTCTGAAAATAATCAGTCTGCCTATCCTGTGAATAGATATCAAATGAACTTAAAAGAATACTAGGTAATCAAGATCAGTGGCCGATGCACAACAAACAAAAAACAAAATTCTGTGTAGACTCTCTACTATCTACATTTTGTTAAGTCTTCATTGATGTATTTATTTGGGGGCAACTTGCATTTGCTATAGCAGGTACTTGTGGTCACTGGCTCATAGGTGTGGATGACAGAAAAAAGGATGATAGGATGGAAAATGAGGTTAGAAAAAGAGCATGGCTAGGTGGATAAAATGAGACATGATAGCATCTTGAATGGCTAAATCTGAAACTACCTCCTTTTCTTGACTGAATCAGTCATGTTATAGTGAGTGCCAAAGAAATAAGTAAAAGTGATCCAAGTATCTGTAGCACATTGTTTGAAAGAAGAGTAATAATATGGTTCCCAGTATTGGTAAGGTGGTTTTGAAAGTGGAGGCCTGCATATAGCACTAACATTTTTATCCTTATTAGTCTATTATTGTTCATTGATAGATCAGAGCTCAAAAAAAATCTATCTTTGGAACAATTTACCACTCGGACATGCATGTTCAGAACAGCCTGACACAAAATGAAATTAGTCTTCAATGTTTATTTTATATTTGAGGTATGAAATATGCAACGGTCTTCTGTGAATACAAAATGGGGCATGCTGTCGAGTTCTTTTGGCTTCATTCCACAATTCCAGCACCCAGCAGCTACTGACTCTTAGGAATTTTGCTCATAATTAGCATGAGCTGCCACCTGCTAAGTTAAGGCATTTTGGGTCCTGGCCTAGAAAATTGAAGAGTTAGACTTCTTATAGGCACAATTATCTTCAATGGAGATTCAGATAGTTTAAACATGTTTTTCTACCCATTAAAAAAAGTTTGGACTTTGTTAATAAAAATTGTTTCCAGTGGAAGTCAGAACAACATTTTTTAAAGCAAAAAGTAGGGAAATTTTTAAAATTTCTCAAACTACTTTGCATTCCATGACATTTAATTGTCAGGACAACCCTGTGATTAGCCCTATTTAAAGTAAACAAACTAAATCTCAGAAATCTTAGATGACTTATAACAGAGTTACTAATTTGGTATTTTAAATTGCATCTTGAAACCCTAAATACAGATACACTAAATGCTAGAAATCTAAATATTTCAGTCACTGTTTAATGTGGTCAAGGATTTCCCTGCAAACTGAGCAAAATATTCTCTTCAATTCTTTGTGTGCAGTATCCTAAATGTTCTGGTATATAATCGATTAGAAGGAAATGAGAGCATGGAAAAATTTTATTATTTGGCTCTCTGGATAGTTCTGCTGCTTTTTTACATTTTACCTTATGAAGCTAAATCATGAATTCCTTTTTTTTTTTTTTAATGAGTTATTTTGGCTCCTTGCTAATATATCAGTCTCAGATTGACTACCAACTTCGGGGTCCTAACTAATACAGTCATCACATTTGGCATGGCCTTGAACTCTGAATATAAAATGGAGACTCTCATCCAGCCCTGTTTCAGGACGTTCAGTCAGAGAAGTACATAATGTGACTGCATCAGAACAGAAGGAGTCATTCTCTTGCAGCAGAGTCTACCACGGTTGTGTAGCTGTGACCGTACAATCGAATTTCAGACTTCTACTCTTAAATATTCATGAGAAATTCTATGTTTAGATCAAGTGGTGAGTTAAAGGAATACTTATATCTCTCATTTACATTTAACCACCTTGTCCACTGTAATTTTGCTGTCTGGTCTCAGAAGCGTGAAAAAAAGAAAAAACACTTTGGACAATACTGATTTTTTTACTGTGTTAGTTTCTTCTTAAGTAGATTGTTATCATATCGTCTTTTAAGCCTAGCTTTCCTGTAGTTTATGTCGATGGTTCTTGACAAAATGATAAAATGTTCCCCAGAAAGCACATGGATTTGGAACTCTCTCTTGTTATGTTTATATTAGGCTTTATTTTAAAGGCAAGTGAGACTGCTTCAAGTAAAACAACTCCAAGCTTCCAAGAAACAGTTAAGAGAAGGCCGAGACGAGCAGAAACACCCCTTCACCAACACTCACCCGGTTGCCATGGACCTGCATAAGCAGTGGGGGAACACAGAGACTAGCTGGCACAAGGAAAAGATGGAGTTACTGGACCAGTTTGACAATGAAAGGAAGGAATGGGAAAGCCAATGGAAGATCATGCAGAAGAAGATAGAGGAGGTACAAGTTGGTTTGTTTTGCACACATTGGAAAACTTAAAGCTCAGAATGAAAATTCTGTTGAAGTTTATTTTGCATTGTAAACTATTTTTTTATTTTCTTTATTCCACTTACGAGATGCATGCATCAGTGACATTTACTAGACCAAAAATAGCATAACCTTACTCTTGGTATCATAGGGCCTAGGCTTATTTTATAAACTTGCATGAAAATTAAGAACTTGAAATGTCATGCTAAAGTGTATCAATTTATTATTTTCTGACTAGAGTGCCTTGGTATCAAAAGTAAGGTATGTATTTTGCATGAGTGTTCAAATACCAGCTCGAGGAGGGAAACTTAAGAAAAACATAATTGGTGAAACAGATATTAGCAAAATTACAATTGTGCATTAAAATGTATGTGTTTCCTGAGATGATTTATGAATAATGTCTACTAAAGGAAACTACATACTAGATAACTCAGTATAATCAAAAGGAGTGTCATATCTCAAACAGAAAATGGCAGTGGACATGATATTTATTCTGGTAGGTTATGCCACATTAATTGGCACATTTATTAGAAAAGGTGTAATGAAAAATGACATGCCATGACTCTGATATAAAAAGTCATTTTAGCCCCATTAACCATCCCTCAGTCTGTTGGGCCTGGAATGTTTTCTTTAAGTCTTTACATTGATGTATAGTCAAGCTTATTCCAACTGTAAAGTATTTTATACTTATTTTGCTTTCTTCTGGTGACATCTATGGAATTGACTTACATGGTTTTGTACACATTGCCAAAGCAATTGTTTTAACAGACTCTTTCACCTTTATTCAGAGGCAATCAAAGCTGGTGCTTCACGTGTTTATACTGCAAATATTTTTTGTTACTAACAGCCATGTAATTCATTGTGAATAAAATGCAAATTGGCATGCTACAAGAAAAAAGAATTAAAAAGAGTAGCTATTAAACTGTTCCTCTAAAATAGAGCTGAGAAGGCAGGCATTCGTATATAATTAAAGATTGAAAGGATAATCCACAGCTTGTCCCTCCGTAGTTTGGAAAATGTGGGTTTCTCACGCTCTTAATTCCTCCACGCAGAGACTCAGATTGGATCAATAAGGAGGTGCCTAGATCAAATCAGAATCCACAACTCCAGTCAGAAATTGAAGTCATGGGTCATTGACTCCCAAAGGTTTGCAAGGTCCAGTCAGTAATAGGCTCAGATAATGCTAGCATCCAAGCAAAATAACTATGGGGGTCAGGATTAGTCTACCCAATGGTTTAAGCCATGTCGTGAAAACAATCTGTTGTCTGGTTAAATGTTACCATAAAATAATTCTTCTGACAGCTCTGTAAATTCCCCCTATGGTAAATATTAGCCTTATCAGTTAACAGGCATTAAACTTATTTTAAACTTAGGATGATAGTACATAGAAATACTGTTCCTACATCAAGGAGACAGAAGGGCTGTAATTCCTCACCTTGGACAGAAGCTGTGGTTCTGTTAGGTCTTGATGCTTGACATATACAGCTCCATACCAGGGCATATGTTCAGATAATGTGCTTACCCAGAATTACCAAAGGTGATGCTCTTCAATACCTGAATAACTAGCATTGTGCCCCCTTATCATACTAATTTGTATTCATTTTCTACTCCCAGCTTTGTAGGCTATAAGAATGTACCTTTTACACATCTTTCTTACAGGCTACAAAGCTGGGAGTAAAAGAGATTTAGGAAAAGAAAAGTAGACTCACGTATCACAGATAAACAAGACAATTTGTTTTAAACTAAAATTAAAAGGCAACACTTGGAAAAATTATACCACATGCACAATAGACTGCATTTTTTTTTTAAATTTATGACTGAGTTCTGTGTATTCAGTGAGATACAAATGATTCAGCCATGTATTAGGGAATTGTAGATTTCCAAGAGAAATCACTCATAGAACTTGAGTGATTCCAAGTGAGAATATCGTCTTGTGAGAGAATGCAGCGGGAGGCCTGAAGATGTTAATATGCTCTGTTCAGCCACTGTCCACAGTCACTGCGTTTGCTAAGCCGAGCTGCACATACTTGGATCACTTAAAACCTGGAATAATCCAGACAGAAACCCTGGATAGAGTTTGTAGATGCCTGGGAATTATTATTATTTTTTTAATAATTGCAAGCTTTCCTGCTTATCTTCTTTGCTCAAATGATCAAATAACCATTGACAAGGGCTGGATCTGACAACACAGATTCCCTTACACTGAATAAATTGTTTTTCATCAATAACATTATGTTATTTGCTTATTCATACCTCACTTCAGTTCCCAAGAGAATTTACGATGGCCTATAAAATTCTACATAAGGCACAGTATGCCAAAGCAAAAAGAGAAAGATGAGATAAAGAGAAGAGGAACAATCATCTGTAAAATGTATGCAGCAAGTCTATCTTTCTTGTAGCTAACACAAAAATTATCAGATATATAGTTCTCAATATTCAGGGGGAAAAAAGCAAACTGATTACCCAGGAATTGCACTTCTGTCCCTGATTTTGAAACTAAAACAATTTTGTTTTCACCCATGACTCCTCAACAAAAAAGGACATCACCAACAGCATCCTTAGATGTAACATGGTACTTTTGAGGGTTGCTTCTTACAATATCGTCAAAGTCAGCCCACATCATAATGCCTACAGCAGTTCAGTATAAATAATATTACAGGGGCCAAAGCAATTGATTCATGGCTGCAATGTGATGCTATCCTGACTTCACCCAGTGATAGATTTACAAGTATCTAGGGAAATAAATGCACTGTATATCCTTTGGACATCAGCTATGTATAGTGTTTCTATCATCTGAGATTTAGGTAAATATTGAGCAGCAATAAATCTGTTATTCCTTAAATAATAGATGTAGTACAGATATAGGTTGTGGCTATAAAATGGAGAGTTGATGGCTTTAATAGTTATTTGATAGTCTCCTTTGAAATTTGACAGGCCTTCCCAGAACTCAAGCCTGAAGAGAAAGCCACTTATTTCCTCTATTCAGGGATGAGCTGAATGAGTGCCTGCAGGTTAAACTAAGTTCTCATTAAGAAGTAATTTGGGGTTCACTTTAACATAGACTAATGGATGATCAAAACCTTAAAGTTCTTTTCTCTCACATAGCACAGGGTCACATTTGTTTTAATCAGGACAAGAAAAAAATTTTTTGAATGTGTATAGCTTTGGCATTAAAAAAAAAATCTCTATTACCTAGCCCTCACCAACGCAGCTTCCAAAGAAAACTTCCTTTGATTGCAAAATGTCTACTTAGAGGACAGAGTGAACTGATTAGATGTGATTGTCAACAATTTACCTAGTTAAATGTGGCATGCAAGTGGGATCATATGTTTAAAGACATGACTTTAATGTTTAAACTCTTGATTCTCTCTGAAAGCAATTAGAGAGCATCATCAATAATTGATTCAGGTCATTCCAATTTTGTGATAGTGCTTCTGTATCATAGTCATACCTATATGTAGATATTTTCCTTTCAAATGAGGATTTCTGCTCAGAAAGACAGAAATTACCATTCATACTTTGACCTGCTAAAAGTAGTCTTTATGGTTTATCAAATTGTTCTGACTAATCCAGATTTTAGAAGCATATTCACAAGCATAAGCATTAATGTCCCACGGTAGTATATAGTCATAGGGCAAAGAGAACTCAAAACAGTGTGCTTGGTATCAAAAATATTGACAATGTGAATTAGGGAGGAGAAAAGTTTTACCTTTGTTTTCCTTATAGCTTTGCCGTGAAGTAAAGCTTCGGAGGAAAATCAACATGAATGAACGTGCTAAGGTCATTGATCTTGATCGTGAGAAGGCCATTCAAGATGAAGTGGTGGGCTCGACTCCAGATTACCCCAATTCAGGACAATGTGAATTTACAAGAATGAATTACAGGGATGGCCTGGAGAAAGAAAATCAAACAGAGCAGAGCTTACTTAGTGAAATAAATCAGATGTGTCAGGAAGAAAAAGCAACAAAAAAATCAAAAGTAGGGTTTTTGGATCCTTTGGCCGTAGATGACCAGAAGGAAGGTGAGGCCTGGCCTGACCTGAGGACTTCCAAGGAAGAGAGCAGGGGCTGTTCTGGTGCCCTCAATACGGTAAGTAAGATGTGACTGGCCCAGAACTGTTTCTAAAGGAATATTTACGTTTCCAACTTTTCAACATGCTGACACACTTTTATTGCTTATATGTATAAAGGCTCTTGAAGAACTTGCCAAAGTTAGTGAAGAATTATGCAGCTTTCAAGAGGAAATTCGAAAACGTTCAAACCACAGAAGGTAGGCTGGTCCATCCATGATTATTCTATGTTGGAAAACCAGGAAAAATAGTTTTCAGTTAATAAATTCAAGGCCCCTCCTCCTTACACTTTGTTAGTGAGAATTAACAAGTTATTAAAATCTATTATCTTTGATAGGAGATAAAATCTTTAACTGTATATTTCTCTATGCTAATTCTTAAAGCAAATCTTTTAATTTGCTTTGTTATTTGACTATTAGGAATACTTTCCCTTTTTTGGTGTTTAGTTAAGGTATTCCCACCATAATAAATTAATAAATATCTTCTAATACAGTTCTTTTTTTATTTTGAGTATTTGGCCAGTGGAAGAATATGCAACTGGGCTAATCCAGTTAAATACACCTTTAAACTATGTCAGGTTTAACAATGTGGTATTTTAATTACATAATGATGTTCTACTGAAATATACCTAAGGGTCATTTATTTCTCTACATTATTATGTATATAATGGAAGCATACATAATTTTTAGACCAACACATTGTAAATATGTACACACAAATATACAATGCTATAAAAATACTGTTTCAGTTCAGAAAGACCTATATAACTGTATAAGTAAGTTTTAGCCAAATTAAAAAATAATTGAAATTTTCTACAAGTTAGATAAAGATGGATTGTTCTAAGATCAACACTTATCTCCTAATGAGGCAGCATTCTTCTCTTAGAAAACTACAGTAATGTGTACACTTATTTTTCATTAGCTCTTAGCAAGCTCAGAGAGAATTTTTCTACTGATTTACAATAGATTTTCCTATCCAACCATATTTTATACATAATTTTGCCCTCTACTTACCGGTTTAGCTTTTGCCTACTATTCTATTAATGCGTACACTCATATATCTGTAATTTATTGTAAGCTAGCTCATAATAGTTTATAAGTTGGAGAGATAACTATGATTGATATTTATCAATATGATTAACTTTAATTTGTGAATCCCTATTGTTGCTGTATTTGAGTTTTTATTTTGATTGAACTCAGAAAAGACTTAGTTAGCAATTTTGTTTTACAAATCATACTTGATAGAAAGTTCTCCTTGTTACCGCATAACCTTTGGGGCAAAGTTCAAGATCCTTAATATGTAATTCAGACATTACACTTTAACCTAATGTTTCTCACTTAATTCCCATTATCCTCCTCCACACCAGAGCACTCACTGTTCCTTGAATAGCCACACTGTTTTTATTGCAACTCACTTTACCTATCTGCCGTTTACTCTACTCAGCCAAAAAAAATTCTTACTTTTCTTTCAAGCCCAAACGACACCTTCCATTTAGTATTACTTCTGTTTCATTGCACTTTTATTCATATTTTTGGCCTACTACTTAGAATGTTATTTCAAATTCAAGAGGAGGAACTTGAGCTCACATGACATAATGAATAGGAATTCAGTAGGCAGAGCAGAGGTAAGGAAATGGCTAGAGAAAATCTATAGATATGGGAATGCCAGTAGCAGACACCCAAGAGACTACACGCTCTAGTCTGGGCGTAGGTGAAGGTTCAGGTAATGGAAAAAATAAAGGAAAAGGTTAGAAAGATAGTTTGAATCAGAGTATATAGATCCTTGAATGCAACACTGGGAGGTGGGCATTATCCCATAGTAAAAAAAGACTTGGAGATTTTGACTAGGGGATTTATATAAAAATGACATGTTAGGAAGTTGTGACTCCTTTTCCTGTAGCAAAAATCCATTGCTTAAGCCGTGGTTTCTTTTAAGAGCTTATCCTAAGTAAAGTTGTCACTAATATACCATATTTTATCATTGTTTAGGATGAAGTCAGATTCCTTTCTCCAGGAAATGCCAAATGTAATTAATAAGCCTCATGGAGACCACATGATCAACAATGGCCAGTGCATGCTTCCAATCTATTTAGAAAAAGAAAAGCAGAAAAATAAAAAGAATCTGAGCTGTACCGATATGCTCCAAAGCAATATTATGAAAAAATATGGAATTGATACAATTGATCTTCAAAGGAATGAAACTCCACCAGTTCCTCCTCCAAGAAGCACATCTCGAAATTTCCCCAGCTCATATTCTGAACAAACCTATGAAAGCGTGAAGGAAAGTTTAGATCGCCACACTCAGGTGGCCCATGAGGGTCAAGACGAAAGGAACCACAGTCCTCATTTCCTCCTGAGGCACGATGAGATGCCCACACTGTGTCTAAATGAAGGGAAGACTTTGAGAGATGGTATTATGTTTTGTTCTTTGGCACCAGAAGCCAAAATAGATAACAAACCTCCATGTACTGAAAATGTTGGACTTGGCATGTGGTCATGTGACACTGGGATAGCTGGAAAAAACTGCCCCTCTACCTTGTGGTTTCAGAAAACTTGCTCCACTCCCAATAAGTCAAAATATGAAAAGATGATCCTAGATCACCCTGCTAAGTCTCATCCTGACCTTTATATAAGTGATGGCTGCAGCTCCTCAGTGACACAGAGCAATAGCCCACCTAGAAGCTTCAGTTGTGGCTTTGGAAGGACTCCTAGGAATGAAAAGCTGGCAGCAAAGACTGATGAATTTAATAGGACTGTATTTAGAACAGATAGAAGCTGTCATGCAATACAGCAGAAGCAAAGCAACTCAGACTCATCTCACGATACTAAGCCCTGTGATACCTTAGTTCCAGGTAACATATCAGAAAACGACAGTGTGTCTGATATTCTGAAAACCAGTGCCCACATGCCTGTGCCCAGGGAAAATGTACCTGATAACCCCACCAAAACATCCACACAGGGCCTAGTCAGACAAACGCAGGAGCATGTAAGTCCCAGAGGTTACAGGAATATGCTTCACGAGCATGACTGGAGACCCAGTAATTTGTCTGGCCGACCAAGGTCAGCTGACCCCAGATCAAATTATGGCGTTGTGGAAAAGCTGCTGAAAACCTATGAGACAGCAACAGAGTCTGCATTGCAAAACTCTAAATGCTTCCGGGAGAAGCGGATCAAATGCAATTCAGATGTCAGTGGTGGCACCACGTTCAGTCAGCATTTAGACATGCTCCAAATAGAACAAGAACTTCAGCAAAAGACAGCTATGTGTGGGGCACAGCAAGTGAAGCAAGGAGTAGATTGGAAAAAGATGACAGAGGTGAGAAAGCAATTAATGTATTTTGGTGGAACTGCATTCATGTTTAGCCATGGCTCAGGGTTCAGTCAATTGCCCATTCATATAAATAGAATGTCGGCACATGTTTTGGCATCTTCTTAACTTCTTGACGCTTCATTTGTGAATAAATATAAACCTGAGGGTTGAAACTCAAGACGGACTCTTTAAAGGGTAGTTTTTAAGACTGGGGATAACACATTATAACTTTTCTAAAATTCTTAAATAAGATAACATAAATAGAATAAGTGGGCTTAAGAGCCTCAAGAAGTGAAATGTTTGTTGTAAGTTTCTTTCTTGAAAAAGTATTCTGAATATACATTTGTCAGTTTGTAGAATTGTATCCTTTTAAAGTGTTTATGTTTTTTAAAGTATATGACAAATATTTTAAAAATAACTTGCACTTTTCATTTATTACCTATGATTGGTTCAGTCCTTCGCAGCATTTGATTCATGTTTTTTTTTGTTGTTGTTGTTTTTTTAAAGATTTTTATTGGGGAATTGGGGGAAGGGGAACAAACAAGTTGCTGTCGTTTTGTTCTTCAGTCTAGTTGTGGAGGACGTTGCTTGATGGCCCAAGTTGGCACCATCATTGCGCTCTTCCCAGGCGAGGCACATCAGTTGCCGACTTCTGGACGGCCGCTCACTGCAGCTGCTGGCCGCTCACACTGGCTGCTGGCTACACACGGTAGCCCATGGCAACCCACTGCCACAGGAGCTGCAGCCTCCGCCCTCGCTGGCGACTCACAACAGCCCAGCTCCAGGTTGAGCTGTTGTTCAGCATCTTAGCTGTAGAGGGCAGTGTCACTGGCCCTCATATGTGGGATCCGAACCGGGGCCCTCTGGCGTCCCAAGCCAGTTCTTAACCATCGCGCCACTCAGCAGGCCCTGATTCATGTTTTTTTCTCACGGAATTAGTCACATGAATGAGAACATGGGCAAAACACATCATTTCACATAGTGCCTTAATAAAGTTCCCTGATTTGTGGAGCTAACAGGCAGTACGTTGAAATAAAAAATCATATTATAGTTTTAACAATGTTAAGGTCTTTCTTATTTGTATAAATTCTTCGCATACAAATCACCCAAAAATGATATTTGAATAAATGGTTATCTTTTTGTTCTTATTCCAGTCTGCTTGCAGATGTATAATCTTTGGTAGTTATAGGAGAAAAAGAGGTAGAAGAGATTGGTATTTATAATGAAGACATTCCCCTTTTATGTCTCTAACATTCCCCTTTTATGTATAATTTGCAAAAAACTTACAAGGCGACATATTGTTATAACTCGAAGCTAATGCTTTGAAAATCCTAGTTTCACATAAGGCAGTATGTGTACAGCATAGTTTTAAGCTATATAGGTTGCTTCCTTCTGGGTAAAGAAATTATTTTTACAGGGCTTTCAAACCCTACACAAATATCAGTTTTCATCCATTTTATAAGATACCTTGCACAAGTTTGCACAAGGTACAAATAATTATCCTGCTTTTGTATTTCTTTCATTTTTACTTGAGCCCATAAGGACATGTAAGGTCCTGTAGCTGCAGGTGGGAACTGGAAACATGTATACAATAACCAGCCAAATTCTCAGTAGCTAACAAGAAATATTGCTAAGTATTTTCCCTAATTTTGCATTGATTAGGATCTTGGGAGGGATCCTCTACTGTGGATCCTTAGTAGTTCTTTATCCCCCTTTCCTGTAGAAAAATAAGATTCCAAAGAAAGAAAACTAAAATGCAGGTTGCTTTCATAGAAATCGTGGCCATCCTCACTGCCTATCTCAGATGAAAGAGCAAAGGTTTCAAGAAGGTTAAAAAGAACCAAAGGTATAAAATGTGTCATGGAAGCTTTTTATTATTTTTTTTAATTGCAAGTGTCTAAGATTACTTTTCTTCCATTAAAATAAAAAGGAAAAAAGGAAGAAATGATAGAAAGGGAAGAAAGGAAAAGATTTCCAATCATGAGATGATGCCCAGTATTGATAGTATCTCTTGGCAATTTTGAAATTTTTGAGAGCTAGTAACAGTGGTTCTTAGTGGGGAAAAAAAAGATAGCATCAGATACATTCTTTGGCATTTTGTGTGTGTTTTGCTTATGACCTCTAAAAGTGTCAATAACTTGACAAAAATGAACAAGTATCTTTTTGTTTTTAAATGACACTAAAACATAACATCTCAATAAGAAACATCTGCAATTCCATCGTATCAAATTATCTAACATGAACTTCTGAATACTGAACTTATAATTAGTTCTAAGAGGAGATCAGTTCTGTTCAAATTGGTCAGTGTGAAGAGATCTGTGAGATTATTAAATTCCATATTCCATATTAAAAGTGAATTGAATATTAGACAAATATCTTCTTTAGTTTTTGATGCTTTTTTTTGCTTATGACTATGCTAATATATTAAATCCCATCGTTGGGAATCCATAAAATATTAGGCCTATGGTTGGTGCCGGTAGAGTGAGACGAATGTCTTCTGTGCCTTAGGAATCCATGGTAGTTCAGTCCTCCCATGGAAAAGGATTTTCCCGACCTGCTCGACCAGCAAATCGCCGTCTCCCATCCAGATGGGCATCGAGGTCTCCATCAGCACCCCCCACCTTGCGGAGAACTGCCCCCAGCTATGCCATATCTCTGAGATCTGAAGCATCGATGATCTGAGTCTCTGGCCTGGATTGCTACGTTACAGAAGTCCCAATTGCCAAAAAAGAGCATCCTGAGTGTTTACAGCCAATCCTGTCTCTTCTATATCTTTCAAGATCACTGGAACAAACAATTTAAATCTTAACTTCCCATCAGTCTTCAGTGTTTTTAATCTCTGGAATAATCATCTTCCTATATGTTGATTTTGTAGATCGGAATTTTTTAATGTCATCCTCATTAATTTGCCACTATGATTTAAGTAGAAACGATGTACTATATTGTATATTCTGACTTTCTTGCAAGTGCAGAAAGCAAGGTTATGTGCATGGCCACATGTTTGTATGTGCATGTGTTGAAATAGGAAGTACCCTAGTATGTATTTAGGTAAGAAAACTTACGTGCTAGTGTTGACTTTGAAATTATAACATGTATACCTATATATTCTTTGTGTTTATTTAAAATTTTTGAAAATATACAGTACTATTTATATTTTGTATACCTTTTCATAGGTATCCACTTAAGGCATTTAAGGTACGTATATTAATTAGCCACTTCCTTGGCCCCAATTCTTGAAAAATAAGAATTACACACACATCTAACAGTGGAAGATTTCTATATACAACTCATAGTTTCTTAACCTATAAAAGGATAATACCATCGATTTCCTGTTTTACTCTTGTAAAAAAAAAAGTAGTCACAGCTTTAACAGATCAGCCTTCTAAAGCAAACAAAATAGTCTCAAAAGCTTTTCTATATCATTTGGTAGTCTATTATGGCTTTAACTGTATACTTGATCCTCAGAGCCAGTATCATGAGACTGCCTTATAAACAACATCACTTTTAAAAATGAACTTATTTTGTCAAATTCAGTAACAAACATTTTTCAAATGGGATATAAAAAAAGTTCAATTATGTTAAATACTACTTTTTTTGTTAAAGTTGTAGTAAGTTTAGTTCAGCTACTTTATTTGGAGTCATATATATTTAGAAGTAAGTTATTTACTTTTTACTTTTTCTAACCTTTTTCCTAAAATTAGCAGATAAAAGACTAATTTACTTTTTTATGAGCAAGGAAAATCAGGAATGATATTTCATTGAGAGCTGGACTATAATATATTTCTTATAATGTGCTACATAAATAAGCCTTAAACTAAACTTTGGCACCCATGAGTAGCATAAGGGACAGAAACATGTATTTTGGCCACAATTTTCATACAGTGAACATATAAAATCTATATTGAGAACTGACAGAAATAAGAATGTTGAGATACTTAGAATTCTACATGGAAGATCTAAGAAGTAACTTTTTTCTCCATTGTCTGTCTATAAAACCAACTATATTATTGGAGATTCTCTATTTAAGCTTTTATTTGATTGCCAAAATGGTTAAGAAATTCTTATGACAAAAGTATTCAAAGGGCCTTCTCCGTATGATATATGCTAACAATTTAGAGACATTCACATCATAATATACCATGATTTGAGGTAAAGTAATTCATTGCCAAATCCCAGACTGCCTTACAAGGCTCAAGACTGTTGCATGGTGATGAACAGATTGATACTTTCCACTAAGGAGAGTTTCCAGGGGTTGAGCTGAATTAAACTTTTAGAATGTGAGGTTGGAGCAGATGGTAAGTAGGGGCTATAGATCCACTCTTTTAATGCTTGTTTCTTTTAGAAATATCCTTTTCCATAGGAAGTCTTATCACGGAAAAGTATCCTAGATGCCAAGTAATGTCTATCATATAACATGCATTTCACCTAGAAGGGAGAGAGCACCGGGGAGGTGGTAGCCTGTGGCATAAAATGATGGATTTGTAAGGAAGATGCTGCTGTGTAACATTGGAGAGCCTGCCCAAGAACTGTGCGACATACCTGTTCCTCTCCACCACTGTATCTCAGGTAGTCTGTTGTGGATCTGTGGTTCTGACCTTTCACTATAGGTCAGAATATTGAAGACCCTTTCACAAAATTAGATTACTGATCTCATTCCATAATTACTAAAGCTGAATTTCCAGGGTGGAGAGTGGGCATCTGTAGCCTTTAATAGAACAAAAATAAAATATTTGATGATTAGGGAGATGTGGAAACAGTGATATTGATACCCAAATGGATGGGTACTCTTGGGTAGTCATGTTACTTCCCTGGGACTTGCCTTTGTTATCTGCAAATTAAAAAGGTTATACATCAGGCTTCACTATTTTAAGCCATGCTTTCTATTGTCAATTGATTTAAACAGTGTGACACATTTTAACGTATTCTTATGTTGATTACTCAGAATATTAGAGCTGAAAAAAACTTAGCATCTAGTCTAACTCCTTCATTGTAAAGATGAAGAATCTAAAAGATTATTTGAATGTTCAGTTTTTTAGAGTATTTTATAAATTTTTATGGGGAAAAAAACCTATCAGGTAAATGGAAATTACCCTTGAAAAATATTTTTTGATGTTGTGATTTCTAATCAGTAGTTTTCTACTTCACATGGGCATTTTCTTCCCAACACTATACCCTTAATTATGCCCTCATTGCTAGATCTAAAGGATTTGTAACCATTTCAGAAATATTTGATTAGAAATATTTGCAAAGTTCTCCCTAGCAGACTTTTGGGGTAAAATATTATATTATTTCGGTTGAGGATTACTGATATTATGGGTTATCTCAGATAGGAATCAAAATGAGGCAGAGAAGGATGCTTGCATTTCTGTGCGTGTGTGTGCGTGCGTGCGTGCATACGCACCTTTGCATGAGTTCTCTATATTGCCTTATGTCAAAGCCAAATAGAAAAATATACATAATGTTTGCATAATTCTCTTTATCAAAAATTATCTATAACTTTCATTTGTTTTTATATAGACAATGAAGATGACCAGATAATATCACGCACAAAACATGAATTACTTCTACATAGGATTTAGCCAGACTCCATGTCATCCTGAGAAAACTTCTGGACCTAAAAAGAGAATCTGCTTACCTACAAATATTTTTTAAATTATCTTAGGCACATATGCTGACAAACCACTACTTGATATTGAAATCTCCTTAGTCATTGGAAGTTATCAAATAAAATAGGTGTGGAAATACTTGCTGTGGCATCTGTATACATTGAGAACAGTTTTATATTTCTTTTTCTCTACAGTGATCTATGGTAAAGCCGAGAGTTTATAAAGTCTAAACCCAAATATGTACACAGTTCAACCTAGCTTCCCCTAAAATGCATTTGTTCATTTCAATCTTTGCAAAAAATTTTGTGTTACAATTAACTCAGTAAAGGATTCTCTGAGTTAATGATATCAGAAGTGAAATAGTTAATTTTCAATGAAAGCCAAAGGACCATTTTCAATATTTTAAAAAGGAAGCTACGTGTAGGAGTAAAAGTGGGCAATGGTTAATATTCAGAAGGCAAATCACTGGGAATAAAGATTCTTCCTAGGAAATCACAGGCCAGGGGAGAGGAGCTGAGATCAGGCGTATCATCTTGTTAAAAAGAAAGCTGGTGGTGGAGTAGCCCAGGGAGCCAAAGCAAAATGAATTCATGACGTATCCAACTCACCAAAAGCAAACATTGGGCCTTCCTGGGAAAATTCAAGGCCTTGAATAAGCACATCAAGGACTCCAGGGTGGACCATGCTCAGGAGTCAGGCAGGTGTTCATCCTCAAAGAGATTTTTTCATAAAGCTGAGGCCAGACACTGGGGCCAGAGCCAGAGTATGAAGGAAGCATCCAGGGAAGGAAACCGGCAAAAGTAAGATACTCGATCCACAAGCCCCTTCCTGGGATCCAGCATGTGGGAAAGTTAAGAGATGCAGCTAGAGTTAGGGAGGGAGATTTCCATGGGAAGCAGGAATGGAGAGGTCCTCACCAGCAAGCTTACCATATCGTCATTGAAGCTGGGAGCCAAGAAGACTTGGCTAGCAAGTGAAGGACCCATTGGTAGGCAACTATTAGTGTAATCACCAGAAAGCTGAAATAAATGGAGGGTCAGTGCAGCTTGAGTTCTCATCTGGGATATTTTTAGGAGCTAGAATTGATAGGAGACCATCAAAAGACCTTACTTTGAAGGATTTAAAAGAACAGACAAAGATGATGAGGTATGGTTTCTTCACTATTCAATTTCCCATTGTCATTTTCTTGTGACTCTATTACCAGAATCTAAAATTTTATCTAGATAATTGGATAAATAAAATAAGCCATCTATACCTTCATAGACCATAAGAGCTTTCACAGACCATAAGAGCAAAATGGGATACCCCAGAAATGGAAAGTGATATTTTCTCCAATAGAAGTAAAAAATATACACACAATCAAATAGTATGACCATTTTTATAAGAACCTAGAAAATCACACAAAATTGTGTATATGAAGTGAGCATAAGGAAAACCCAAACTGCATCTGAGAACAATATCGAGTCAAAGAAAAGTGCAATGTAATTATAATTAAAGAAGGTGAAACAACTGCTCTGAGCTCTGCCTGAATGAAAAGGAAATGGACTGCATGGAGCCAAGGAAATGTATCCTGAGAGCAAGAATATCCAGTGTTGATCCACTGCTGTCCAGTGGATAAGACCAGGGTCTGAGAACATGAAATTTCTGGCCACAGACTATTTCATTCTGTCACCAGAGCAGTTTTCCCCAGACTGACCTGTGTCACACTGATATCTCTCAAGGTCACCTGATTTCATCAGTTCACTTTCCACACTCAAGCAGACTTCTGATTCTCTAACTACCTAGGTATTTAGAGAGGTAAGAAAGCATCTAGACTGTGTTTCTTGAATGTTTCCAGAACGTTTTCTAATAGCAAAGAAAAGAAATAACTATCCAAAGGTCTCTCTTGGTGTCTAAAATTCTTCAAATTTGGGGAGTTTTAACTGGAAAATTTTTACAGTACTTAAACAGGAATTTTTGTCGTCTTTGTTCACTGATTATACCAACCACTGAGAAAAGTGCTAACAGATAGTAGACTCAATAAATATTTGTTGAATAAATTAACAAAATTTTAAAATGTTTTTATCATGTGCTGTC